CAGGCGATTTGCCTCAACCTCCCACCCCGCCATAAACGTCTCCCCCTTACTCTCACAGATATTGCGGAGCACACAGCAAGCAGTAATAACAATGGGAATATTGGTTTCGCTGAGGTCTAACCGAGTCAGTAAACTGCTCCAGCGGGCTTTTAAATGCCCATATGCACATTCTACCACCATTCTGCACTTGCACCATTCTGCACTGTAGTTGAACAACTCCTGACTACTGTCCAGGCTGCCTGTGTATGGCTTCATGAGCCAGGGCATTAAGGGGTAGGCTGGGTCCTCAAGGATAACTATAGGCATTTCAACATCCCCAATGGTTAATTTCTGGTCTGGAAAGTAAGTCCCTTGCTGCAGCTGTTGAAGCAGACCACAGTTCCTGAAGATGCAAGAGTCATGTACCTTTCCAGGCCATCCCACTTTGATGTTTGTAAAACGTCCCTTGTGATCCACCAGTGCTTGCAGCACCATTGAAAAGTACCCCTTTCAGTTTATGTACTCGCTGCCTTGGTGCTCCGGTGGCAAGATAGGGATATGAGTTCTGTCTATGGCCCCACCACAGTTAGGGAATCCCATTACAGCAAAGCCATCCACTATGACCTGCACATTTCCCAGGGTCACTACCCTTGATATCAGCAGCTCAGTGATAGCACTGGCTATTTGCATCACAGCAGCCCCCACAGTAGATTTGCCCACTCCAAATTGATTCCCGACTGACCGGTAGCTGTCTGGCGTTGCAAGCTTCCACAGGGCTATCGCCACACACTTCTCAACTGTGCGGGCTGCTCTCATCTTGGTATTCTTGTGCTTCAGGGCAGGGGAAAGCAAGTCACAAAGTTCCATGAAAGTGCCCTTACGAATGCGAAAGTTTCTCAGCCACTGGGAATCATCCCAGACCTGCAACCCTATGCAGTCCCACCACTCTGTGCTTGTTTCCCGGGTCCAGAATTGGCATTCCATGCCACGAACCTGCCCAATTGACACCATGATGTGCACAATGCAGGGGCCTGTACTTTGTAAGAAGTCTATGTCCATGTCCTCATCACTCTCATCACTGCGCTGCAGTCTCCTCCTCTTCGCCTGGTTTCGCTTTTCTTGCAGGTTATGGTTCTGCATACCCTGCTCGATAATGCACATGGTGTTTATAGTGCTCATAATTGCTGCGGTGATCTGAGCGGGCTCCATGTTCCCAGTGCTATGGCGTCTGCGCTGAAAAAAGGCGCGAAACGATTGTCTGCCGTTGCTCTGACAGAGGGAGGGGCGACTGACAACATGGCTTACAGGGAATTAAAATCAACAAAGGGGGTGGCTTTGCATCAAGGAGAAACAGAATGGCCCCCTCAAGGATAGAACTCAAAACCCTGGGTTTAGCAGGCCGTTGATTTCATGGAGGGAGGGAGGAGAAAATCAATACAAAACAAATCTGGTCTATTTCTTGTTTTGATCCACTTCATCTATCTTTATACATCTTGCTGGCAGCAGACGGTGCAGTACGACTGCTGGCCATCGTCATCTCCTGGGTGCTCGGCAGAAGACGGTCCAGTATCACTGCTGGCCATCATCGTCTCCTGGCTGCTCATTCGAAGACGGTGCAGTAGGACTGCTGGCAAGACTGAATCGCCTTGAGATGAAACTTAAAAGGGAAATGATCTGGCTGAGTCACTCCCATGTTTGCCTAGGCACCCCTGACCCACCTCACCGAGGTCATCTAAAAGAGCACCCTGGAGTATGGCAACGATGGCTACCAGTCATACTGCACTGTCTGCTGCCAAAAGGCAATGAGCTGCTGCTGTGTAGCAATGCAGTACCGCGTCTGCCAGCACCCAGGAGACATACGGTGACAGTGAGCTGAGCAGGCTCCATGCTTGCCCTGGTATGGTGTCTGCACGGGTAACCCAGGAAAAAAGGGGCGAAATGATTGTCTGCCATTGCTTTCACAGAGGGAGGGAGGGAAGAGGGTGCCTGACCATATGTACCCAGAACCACCCGCGACAATGTTTTAGCTCCATCAGGCATGGGGATTTCTACCCAGAATTCAAATGGGCGGCGGAGACTGCGGGAACTGTGGGATAGCTACCCACAGTGCAATGCTCCGGAAGTTGATGGTTGCCTCGGTACTGTGGACGCACTCTGCAGACTAACTGCCGACTAAATGCACTTAGAGCATTTGTGTGGGGACACACACAATCAACTGTATAAAAACGCTTTCTACAAAACCAACTTCTATAAATTTGACCTAATTTTGTAGTGTAGACGTAGCCTGACCCAGATAATTCCAGCTCACAGGGAAGAGGGGACTCATCCTGGCCTCCTGACTCCCTGATTAGCCTACCCGCCCTGTCAATCAGGCTGACCTGGAGCATTGGCCTCTCCCCATTGTTCCTGGGGACTGTCAGTCTCAGGGTCCTGATTTCCCATTGACCCTTCCCCTTTTGGTACTGTGAGCTAGCCAATCAAAACACCCCCACTGAATGTTAGTAAGGGGACAATAGTCCCCTTACACTTAAAAGAGCAACACTCAGATGCGGAAACTACAGAACCCGAACCACCAAAAAAAGTCAACCTTCTGCTGGTGGCATCTGACTGAGATGATGAAAATGAATATGCGTCATCTGTCCGTTCTGCTTTGGATCATTATCGAGCAGAACCCATCATCAGCATGGACGCATGTTCTCTGGAATAGTGGTTGAAGCATGAAGGGACATGTGAATCTTTAGCGCATCCAGGATGTAAATATCTTGTGATGCCGGCTACAATAGTGCCATGAGAACACCGGTTCTCACTTTCAGGTGACTTTGTAAACAAGAAGCTGGCAGCATTATCTGCTGCAAATGTAAACAAACTTGTTTGAGTGATTGGCTGAAGTAGGACTAGTGGACTTGTAGTCTGTACAGTTTTACATTGTTTTATTTTTGAGTGCAGTTTTCTTTTGTACATAATTCTACATTTGTAAGTTCAACTTTCATGATAAAGAGATTGCACTACAGTACTTGTATTAGGAGAATTGAAAAATACTATATTTTTTTTACAGTGCAAATATTTGTAATAAAAATAAATATAAAGTGAGCACTTAACACTTCGTATTCTGTGTTGTAAATGAAATCACTATATTTTAAAATGTAGAAAACATCCAAAAATATTTAAATAAACGGTATTCTATTATTGTTTAACAGCGTGATTAATCGCCATTAAATTTTTTAATTGCACGATTAATCTCCATTAATTTTTTTAATTGCTTGACAGCCCTAATTTTTTACATTCAAATAGAGCAGAATAAAATCAGGATTACATATGAAACAAAGAAGGTGAAGGTTTCACTATTTATCTTTACAGCTTCCATTTACTCTTTCTATCAATGTTCTCTTTATAGTAAAATGATTTTGTTGCTTATACATTTTTTTAAAAAAATAACAAAGGTGTTGTTTTAGGAAGTGACTAAAACAGATAAATTACATTTCTCACTTTAAATTGGCATTTTTATTTCTAATTATTTTAGAATAGTTTTAGAGCCCTATCCATAGTATAATGTGAATGTGGTGAGGCGAACCTTACTTTTCTAAAAGAATCAGTGGAGATTCTGCATAGTAGACATTTGCTTGTCACCAGTTACAATCTGGTCAAATATTATTCTGGATCTTTAAGTTTATCATATTACCACATTTTCAGATTTCTGCCCAGGAGCTGTTTGTGGCCCAGTTCTCACTGATTAAAATCAAGATAATCTAAAGCAACTTCTGGCTACTGTTACCAAACAGAAAGAGAAGTTGCAATTTCTCACATTTGGTTGTGCCTGTATCGTAGGATAGTGATAATTCAGCCATTGTTTTTTGAATTTTTAATTTACTCTATCAAGAGTCTTTGAATTAATTTAGAGGTTCTGTTACTTCTTGAGAAAAATGACTGACCAAACAAACACAAAACTAAATCACATTGAAATTACTGCCACAGAAAAGATTAAAGTTCTCTCAAGCATTTTTTTTTCTCTTGAAAAGGGTGGCATATATAACATGAAGACAAAATATAACACAGATACAATAGAGATAAAAGTAGATAACTTGAAAAATTAATTATTCAGTTTATAAGAGCTAGTTTTGCATAGTAGTAAATTTAAACAGAAAACTGGACTTTTGTTTCTTATTATTAATTATTATTATTGCTATAAAATTGTTTCTGGCTTGCTATAAATCTTAATGAACGCTGATATAAAAGCACAGATTTTTCTTTTATTTCAGACTAAAACAATGCATAAATTTCATTAGTTTTCAGTTTTGCTAATATATTTAATGAATAGAAGTTATTTATTTTAATTGTATTTTTTTAGGAAAAATTAATTCAGAGAGCTCAAGATGAGGTTTCTGTTCTATTTGAACACCTAGACCCATACAGTGAGACAATTACTTCCATATACATGTCTGGAGAATAAACATCCTTCTACAAGTCTTTAATCAGATCCCTGTGGCATTGCATGGGGGACTATTTCAGCAGAATTTAGTATTTTTAGGAGATAAAGGATTTGGATAAGGGAGACAGTTCTTAATCCATACTCCCAGTTCAGGAATGAGATTGTGTTACTTCCTTTTTTTCAAAACCAATTTATATTGACAACATACATTCAAATAACTGGCTTTATATCCTGAGTTGGAGAAAACCCTCTAAAGAACAACATTTCATTGTAGTTGTGGTTTTATTGCCAACGGTAAAGTTTTAATTTAAAGTGAAAAACAAAAGTTTCCCTCTTCAGAGGTCTCTCCAGCTCTAAGTATCAGGGTTTATTGGCTCTTCTTTACCTCATCTTTATTCTCTCCTACAAGAAACTCTACTGAATGAAAATACCCTCTTTCACCTTCACGCAGCTAAGAAATGAGGTAATTTAGTGATATATATTTTGCAAAAAATACACTTTTTTAACTCCGAAGAAACACAAACAGAGAGGAGAAAAGAGCCCTTTTGGGCTTGCAGCTGGGCGGGCTCTTTAACGTACCAATCACAGATCAGCTCTTCTCTATAAATTCAGGCATCTGACCAAGTCTCTCCAGCCCAATTACTTTTGATTTGCTGAAAACGGTTGTCAGCATGTCGGAAACGGCGCCTGTCGCAGCTCCTGCTGTCTCCGCTCCTGGGGCAAAAACCTCTGCTAAAAAACCGAAGAAGGCGGCAGGAGGCTCTAAAGCCCGCAAGCCTCCAGGTCCCAGCGTGACCGAGCTGATCACCAAGGCGGTGTCCGCTTCCAAGGAGCGCAAAGGGCTCTCCTTAGCTGCTCTTAAGAAGGTGCTGGCCGCCGGAGGGTACGATGTGGAGAAGAACAACAGCCGCATCAAGGTAGGATTAAAGAGCCTGGTGAGCAAAGGCGTTTTGGTGCAGACAAAAGGTACCGGTGCTTCTGGTTCTTTTAAACTCAACAAGAAGCCTGGTGAGATTAAGGAGAAGGCGCCGAAGAAAAAGCCAGCGGCAAAGCCTAAGAAGGCAGCTGCTAAGAAGCCCGCCAGCGCCGCCAAGAAGCCCAAAAAGGCTGCAGTGGCGAAAAAGAGCCCGAAAAAAGTCAAGAAACCAGCGGGTTCTGCAGTGAAGAAAGCGGCCAAGAGTCCGAAAAAAGTGAAAGCCGCCAAGCCCAAGAAGACAACTAAAAGCCCGGCTAAGGCGGTGAAACCAAAAGCTGCCAAGCCCAAGCCAACAAAGGCCAAAACAGCGAAGGCGAAGAGGGCAGCACCCAAAAAGTAAAGTGTAAATTTGAAGAGAAAATTTCTGACCCAACGGCTCTTTTAAGAGCCACCCACAAGTTTCAGAAAAAGAGCAAAATTGCTATACTCGAGAACACTGGGTGATTTGAAGGTATCCGGAGTACTCGCTTTGTTATATAAGTCGGGTATAGTGAGTATGTACAAAGAGAGAGAATGCTCGTTCTTTCCGGTTTACTATTGGGATCACTTCCTGGGCAGTTTTAAATAAAAATATAGGGAGTGAAGAAGGTTGTAGCGCCGGGAAGCTATCGCTAAAACCTCCTTACCGTGACCCGCTTCTAGGTAGCTTAGGAGTCAGCTGGTTAGGGGCGGGGTGCTTAGCTCCCAGTAGATTCTAGACTATATTGCTTAGTTCTAGCCGTTTAGACCAGTACTGACAAAATAAGAAACCGAGAACTACGCACTTTCTCCGTGCTGTTTGGCTATCTCCTCTCTGATTGGCTGATAGTGCAGATATGGATAAATCTTATTGGACATGTCCGAAGTTTTGAAAACCCCGCGCGCTCTGAGAAGAGCGCCCTTCCTTGTCTCTGATTTGATTGATCACAAAAACTGTCGTCACCAATGACCCGATCCTTGAAACGCTCGCTCCCTGAAGGATCCTGACTTTCCTATTTCCAGCCCCATTCCCCTAAAGCACTCGTCTTTCAAATACTTTCCCCCAACTATTAGAGAGACAAGGTGGGTAAGATAATATCTTTAAGCTTGTCTCTCCCACCAATGGAACTTGGTACAACATAAGATATTACCTCACCCACGTTGTCCTTACATCCTGGGACCGACAGGGCTACAAGAAGACTGAATTTCCCATCCCAATTGCATTGTTGTTGCCCAATTCCGACAGTTCCTGGAGCCCACTTCCTGAAAACTATTTTGTTTTCTCGTGTGTGTGTGTACTTGCCTCACTGTTTCTTTTTCAGACTGACCTATTTATGACCCCTGAACACTAGTCCCAGGGAACAAGCAGGGCGATAGACCAGGGTGGCTTTTTTTGTTTTGTTTTTTAATTTTTTTAATGTATTCATATTTCCAATCTTGTATTAATTCGAGATGATTTAAAGGTGAAGACGAGCTAAATTCCTTTCCCCTCAGATTGATTACGTATGCAATCCAGAACCCACCAATTCTTCTCTTTACGTTTAAAGTGTAGATAAAGGACAGATGGAGAATGTACCTGGATTCATTTACAATACTTCCATAAACTGTTTCTCGTATTTTTCTTACTTCCCAACACAAAATGTACCCTAGAACCAAGACGCTTCTTAGGTTTACTATATTGGATTAAACAATTTCCCTGTTTGTTACTGCTGCAAACCATGCCAGCTATTTCAAGTGCAACGTAATAGTTCATCAAGAGTTTTGAGTTGACTTGAGAATGTGTGATTTAAATAAGAGTTATTACATCATTGACTATTTCATCTGCGGGAAGTCTTGTCAGGCAAACTGACAGTTAATCAACGCAAAACGGACAAAAGTAGCAAGGAGCATTTATATGGATACTGAATGCCCCCCTTCAACAGAAAAATAAGTAAAAGAAAGCAGTAACAAAGGATATTTATAACATTTACTTTCATCATTTGAGTATTGTATACAGTAAATTTTATTCTTATTTATTGTATTTACGTGGATTTTGGTTCCTCAATAGGGCAATACATTTTTAAACTAGAGTAATTGCAATTAATGTATTTCCAGCATCAATAACTAACACCGAAACTAAAAACGCAGAATAAAATACATGTGTTAAAACAACACAATGCATGGTTTAGTGCCAAAGCTCTTTTACAGAGTAAGTGGGCGGCTCTGAAAAGAGCCTTTGGGTTACAGATGTTCGCATTCATATATCTTTACTTAGAGCTTGTGTACTTGGTAACAGCCTTTGTACCCTCAGACACAGCGTGTTTGGCCAACTCCCCCGGCAACAGAAGGCGCACAGCGGTCTGGATCTCTCGGGATGTGATGGTCGAACGCTTGTTGTAATGCGCCAGGCGAGACGCTTCCCCAGCGATACGTTCGAAAATGTCGTTTACAAAGGAGTTCATAATGCCCATCGCCTTAGAGGAAATGCCGGTGTCCGGGTGAACTTGCTTCAACACTTTGTACACGTAAATTGAGTAACTTTCCTTCCTAGTTTTTCTACGTTTTTTATCTCCCTTCTTCTGGGTCTTGGTCACAGCCTTCTTAGAACCCTTCTTGGGAGCAGGAGCAGATTTCGCCGGCTCAGGCATTTTAACAGACAAGCGTACTCTCCAACTCGAAAACGACAACAACAAAATCAGAAAAAAAAAAGCCGTTCCTCCCTGTATTTATAGGTTTGCTATGCAAATGAGCAGCCTATGTTTTCTAGTTTTCTATTGGCAGTTGGATTCAACATATGGTTTCGCGTTTTATGCTGCAATTGGTCAATGTGAGATCCTCGTCTTCATTGGTTGCTCAGAGAGTGACATTTTTCAACCAATCATGATTCACTAATCCGTCCGGGAGAGGGAATAAAAGAGCAAGAATCGTTGCGTCATTATACTTTTCCCATTTGTGTTTTTGTGAACGGTGGTTCTTGTGGTGAAGAAGAGTTACGATGTCGGGCCGAGGGAAACAAGGCGGAAAAGTGAGGGCTAAGGCAAAGTCTCGTTCATCTCGGGCCGGCTTGCAGTTTCCGGTTGGCCGTGTTCATCGGCTTCTCCGGAAGGGTAATTATGCTGAGCGAGTTGGAGCTGGAGCCCCGGTCTATATGGCGGCTGTCTTAGAATATCTGACCGCTGAGATTCTCGAGTTGGCTGGTAACGCTGCTCGGGATAACAAAAAGACTAGGATCATCCCCCGCCATCTGCAGCTCGCCATCCGTAACGACGAGGAGCTCAACAAGCTGCTGGGGAAAGTCACGATCGCTCAAGGGGGTGTCCTGCCCAACATCCAGGCTGTGCTGCTGCCTAAGAAAACCGAAAGTCATAAAGCCAAGAGCAAGTAAAAGTGACTTAGAGAAAACGAGATAATTTTTAAAAATAACCCAAAGGCTCTTTTCAGAGCCACCCACAGGATCAGAAAAGAGCTAAATTATTTTGTCTTACGGATTTAATAAAGTGAGTACGCTTTGTATTTTTAACTTAATCATTTTGCTGCACTTTTTCCTCTTAGGGTTCCCCACGTTCTGCATGAAGGAATAAACCTTTCGAATTACCAGTAGCTGTATTGCAATGGATTTCTAGGTGTTATCGATATAATTTAGTATATCTATTCTTCGTTTTCGAAAAAAACAAATTTTTAATTTAAGATGGTGGTAGTTAAGTGGTATATGACAATTTTCAGAGTAGCAGCTGTGTTAATCTGTATCCGTAAAAAGAAAAAGAGTACTTGTGGCCCCTTAAAGACTAACAAATACATGGAAACTAAAAGTAAATCGTAAAACCTCACTTCTGCTATGCTCCGTATTTAACCTGTCTTCCCAGTATTTTAATTGTGGTGTCGTTCTGCCTGTCTCTTACAAATGTATCACCTTCAAGGTCATTCCGAAAAAGGACCCTTAGAGACGTGAATGAATTTAGAGGATCAGCTGAAACACAAGCACAGTAAGAGGTAGATGTATACAATAAAAAGGACAAAAAGTATCAAAATCCATGTATTACTGCCATTAATAGATCTCTTTGTGGTGTTTGTGCTCTGATTTAAGGGAATAAAGCTTTCCTGCGATGTAATTTAGATTTATTTGGAAATGAACAAATGAAACCCAGAGGTGCGGTGTGTTAAACCAAACTAGCTCCTCAAATCACCTAGACTGGGCGATGAAGCGTTGAATGTAGAGGAAAAACCCCAAGAGAAAATGAGCTGCCACCGGCCGTGCTTATCAATTGCTGCACTGGGCGGGCTTTTCAAACCTGCCAGCCGTTTTCATTTCCTTGCCAGTCAGCTGCGTTTTGTATTTCTTCCTTCTCTCCCGTTCCTCCCAATCAACAGCGGCGCTTTCCTTTTTTCCTCATTCTCTCCTTTAACCTTCTGTACTGAAGAGATCAAGGCGCTCTAAAGAGTACGCCCTGCAGAACTGAGTTAAGAGGTTCTCAGAGATTTAGATTTCCCAGCTCACATGTCCAGAGCGCAGCTGTTTCGGTGCGGTAGAGTGCCGAGGTTGCCATGCGGTTCCCTGGTTATGTAGAGGGCGATGGGGGCGGGTCGGAGGGTTTCCTAGTTTTATGGGGAGCACAGAGTCCCATAATGAGCCAATACATCGGTGTTTTCTGCGTCGATTCCCCGCCTATACCACGGCTGTAGTCCCGAAGGATCAAAGTGCCTCCGTCAGCCCAAGCGAGCCACAGCACCAGCTACGGGGGAACCTCTCAAGTGCCTATAACTCCATCTCCAGCCCTATCCCTCACAATCCATTTTATAATTTATCTCCATAATGTGCAATGCACTTTACTGCATCGACTCCCTGCAGAGCAGGAATGAAGGATAACTAGAGTACCTATGCTCCAGGAAGGTAAGCAACTTTGATGGGAGAGAGCTTGGAACTCTGATGCTGTGCAGGTAGCTTGTAGCTGTGATACTGTGGGTGTGGGGTTCTGTTCTTACCTCCTCATTTCAAAGCCTCCCCCTTTATATGTCAAGCTCCAAATAAATGTGTTCTTCCTCCCAAAATGTAGCCCTGATGTGAAATACAAACTTCCTGCTGCCATGCAATAGCTGTCTCTCCAGGTTAGGTAAAGCATCTTGATTATGTAAAGAGTTGATTATGTAAAGAGTTGTCACTTTGGATGGGCTAGCACCAGCAGGAGAGTGAATTTGTGTGGGGGGTGGAGGGTGAGAAAACCTGGATTTGTGCTGGAAATGGCCCACCTGTTGATCACTTTAGATAAGCTATTACCAGCAGGACAGTGGGGTGGGAGGAGGTATTGTTTCATATTCTCTGTGTGTATATAAAGTCTGCTGCAGTTTCCACGGTAAACATCTGATGAAGTGAGCTGTAGCTCACGAAAGCTCATGCTCAAATAAATTGGTTAGTCTCTAAGGTGCCACAAGTACTCCTTTTCTTTTTGCGAATACAGACTAACACGGCTGTTCCTCTGAAACCTGTCATCTTTCCTTTGAGTCCCATTAACATTAGAATGCTCCTTATTCAGTGCTAGGCCATCAGTTTATTACACTCAGGTTTACCTACTGGACCTCTATGGTCACAAAGAGCCTTTTGGGATAGGTTGGGGAGGTGTGTTGTGCATTAGATAGGGTTTCTGTGATTTATTTAAATAACCTTTATTTCTCTTGTTTTGACACAACAATAACTTGTGTTTGGGGTTTGTTTCCAAGAACTTAGTTTTATATGTACACCACACTTTTGTAAGCAACCTATCTTCTTCTTTTGTGTGCTTTAAAAATATTTTAACTACATGTGTTAATTGTATATTTATAGTTTTGTTTTTGTTTTTTTTAAGGGAACAATTCTGGCTTTATTTTTGAAGGTTGACTATTTTAAGAGCAAACATCCCAAACACCGAGAAAAGAAGAACAGAATATAGGAAAAATGCATCTTTTCTCTCTGATGCTTCCAGTTTAGCTACAATGAAGTGTTGCAGAGCTACATTTTTTCTGGTCTGCTGAAATGTACTCTTATTGAGTGGTGAGGGAGACTAGAGGTAGATTTCACTGTAACTCTTAAACTGGTCCAATTACCCTGTTTGTTACAAGCTGACCCCTTATATAGGTTTCTAGTCATTGGCTCTTGTTATACCTTTGCCTGCTACATTTAAGAGCTCTCTACTCTAAACTAAACTAAACTAAAACAAAACAAACAAAAACTCTCCAGGTCAGTGCTTGGAGATTGAGAACAAGACACCCTTGCTCATCTCTTGGATAAGATAAACAGAATGAGTTTCTTAAGTCTCTTTGTAAGGTAGATTTTCCAGGCCTCAGTTCATTCTTGGAGTTTTCTGAACCCTGTCCAAATTTTTCAACATCCTTTTTGGAGCGTGGACACTAGAACTAGACAAAGAATTACTATAATGGTATCACCAAAGCCACATAAAGAAGTAATACCATCGTAATTATACATCTAAGGTTTGTGTTAGAAGTCTTAGCAACAGCATTACACTCAGAGCTCCTGTTTAATTGGCTACCTACTTTTTTTCAGAGTCACTGTTTTCCACTGTACGTGCATATTTATTGTCATCAAAGGAACATTTTGGTTTGTTATGCTAACAATTCTCTTATCTCAACAGAAATCTTAACATGAGCAACTTGGGAGACTTCTGAGTGGTGTGTTTTTGGGAGGCGCCTTCATTGTTTAGATGGAAGGAAGCTTTTAGCGGCCTTATGTGTATTATCCTCTTATTTTTCTATTTCAGTAACCTTTCCTTAGTTCCTCCTGAGCCACTGACACATCAGGCAGTCCAGTTCTTCCACTGATTATGGACATTCATTAATTGTGATACTTCTTCCCAGATGATTCCAGCATATTGAATACCCTTTGTCACTGTCTTCTGCCAGTGTTTCCTTGGCCATCCTCACTTTCTTTTTCCTCCCTTGGGTACTCCGTTCCATACTTGCTTACCATGTCTCCCATCTTCCATACAGTGTACATCTCCCAACCGCCTGAGCCTTCTTTCTTTGTGTATATTATCTAACACATCCTGCTCTGTCAGCGCCCTTACTCTCTCATTTGTTATTTTGTTTTTCCATTAAATGTGTAGTGTTTTTCAACCAGCTGTAACTGGCAGCTTCTAATCTCTTTTTATTAGTCACTGTCATCTTCCAAATCTCTGCTCCTTACAATACTGCAGTATAGTCTGATCTTTAGTTTGATATGGAGACCTCTGTTTGACTAAATGTTGTTCATCCTTCCAAAGTGGTGTTTGATTTTCCTAATCTTGTATGAATATCTGGATGGCAGCCACTTTCAAATATCACATCCCCAGGTAGCAAAACTCTTCTACCTGATCGATTTCTTTTCCATTCATGTACACCTTTGCATCTGTTAGGATCATGAAGGTAGGAAACCATACAACTGTGCAAAGATGTATATGGATGGATTACAGTAACATTAATACAAAAAAGATCTCAGAGTACACAAAGGGACAGGTGTTCAAGGGTGTAAGTGGTAGAATATTTGGTCAATCAGATTGCATGGGAAAGCAAAACCAAAGATCCATTTTTGGACTCAAAGGAAGATAGGAAGAGTGAGGGATTACACTCAGAAGTTTAGATTTAAGGAGGGGGGGAAAGTCAAAAGTATTTCTGAATACATTGGCTTAGACATCTGTCCATGCTTCCATTTCACAGTATAAAATCATGATACTAGACAACTGCAGATAATTAACTGATCCCTACTTCCTAGATCTTTTACACGTATCATACTCTTGCGTGGAATCAGGACAAATTAAACTGAAATACACAAGGTGCGTATTTCAAGTTCCTTAAGTAGTGAATCCCTATATTCCCTCAAATTTACATTTTAGAGTTGGCCTGCGTGTTTGTGTGTCCAATCACATTTATTTTAGCAAATTATCGCTGTGGTGAATTGTTTAACTAGCATACTGTACTTCAGCATTTTTGGGCCTGATCCTCAGGTCTGGCCAAGCTATACCTAAGGAAGGAGCGAAAGGAGAAGGAACAATGATGGCTTTATGCCAGGGATCAGTGGAACCCCTGGCATGGATTAGAGTAGCCGCAGAGCTTTGTACATTTGAGTTAAGCTAGTAGTGGCCCCAGTGCTGTTCCAGCCACTGGAAACCATCATCCTGCAGGTGTGCTTCCATCATGTTGGAATTTGTAAGAGAAGATGACATAAACTGTATCAATTACACTGGAGGAATCCTCAGTTGTCCAAGTATGATGGTTTTAAAGCCAGTTTGTGCTGCTGGAGTAAGGGGAAAGATGTAAGGTTTAAAAAATCCACAGATTACTCCTACATAAATATCCTTGCCTTTGCTCTTACAAATAACAGAGATAATGGTAAATAAGTAAAGCCTCCAAAGATAAAGTAAATGATGCTATTTAATGGAAATAATTTACATTTAATGTGGCTTTACCACCTCCCTGAATTCACTCCTCAGTATGTTCCTAAATCTTAACATATACAATTTGTAAACAACAAATTAAAAGTACCTCAAACCTACTAAATAAAGATAAAGCCCACCACCACCAGAGGAAGCAATGATTTCTAATAGCAGCAATTACTGTATTTATTTCTCCCAGTTGTAACAGCTAACTGCATCATTTTTTTTCCAGTTCCCCACCTGCACTTTGAAATAATGTGTATAAAGTATTTCTAAATTGATCAGCATGCACACTGCAGGCTACATGAATATATCACATCCTTAGACCCAACAGTTTGTCTGGCTGTACATATTTTTCATCCAGTCCAGCTTCCTCTTCATTCTAATATGTTGAAGATCTTGTCTTGCCTTCATAGCTATTACACACAATGGAATTACATTGTAATTAGTATGTCATTGATACTGTTGTTTCATGTAAAAAAGAATTTTCTATCTTGTTTACAGAATCCCAAGAAACATTCCACTCCCTGACGAGGAGATTGTAGTTGAAGCAGTGTCTAAGTCTGTGAAACTGGGTTATAGTTTCATGGTCCTTGGCAAAGTTAAGTATGTTACGTCACCCAGAATCACTGTTGGTATAGACAAAAAGCAAACTTAAGCTCAAATAAATTTGTTAGTCTCTGAGGTGCCACAAGTACTCCTGTTCTTTTTGTGGATACAGACTAACATGACTGCTACTCTGAAACCTGTTGGTATAGAGAAAAGGAGGACTTGTGGCACCTTAGAGACTAACCAATTTACTTGAGCATAAGCTTTCGTGAGCTACAGCTCACAGATGCATCCGATGAAGTGAGCTGTAGCTCACGAAAGCTAATGCTCAAATAAATTGGTTAGTCTCTAAGGTGCCACAAGTCCTCCTTTTCTTTTTGCGGATACAGACTAACACAGAAGCTACTCTGAAACCTGTTGGTATAGAGACAGCCTTAATGGTAAGGTAGTAGGGTGAGAACAGTGTCCTTCACTGTCTGCTCAGTGTGTGTGTCTGTGTCTGTGTCTGTGTAGGGGGAAAGGGGGCATTTTTTTCTATTTTTAAATAGAAATAAAGTTTGTCATCATTAATTGTGTGAAGCCACCCTCTGTATGTTTTAAGAAATGGTAGTGACCCACTAAGACTTGCATTACCTTGGAGGGGTAGCCTTTTCAGTTATGGTGTAGTTGTACCACGGTTAAGGTTGCATTACAAAGTTCAGTTTAATAAGAGCTTTAAACAGTATCTTTGTAAAAATTGCATTGAAAAGGCAAAAATAAAAACATAGACTATAAACACTGAGGATATTTGATTTTTTTATGGTAATTTGATAAATAACACAGGATGCCAATGAGTTGCCACTATGATGTGGCCGTGAACAAGGCTAATGCAATCCTAGGATGAATCAGACAAGGTTTAACTTTGTTCAAACTCTGTCTGTCTGTCCATCTGGCCTCCTTCATCAGACTCCCAGCTGTGTGTCCTGACTGCTTCCTGCAGCCCACACTTAACCCATCTCGCATCTCTCCTGTCCTTAGATATCAAGCTGGGAGTGGATTGTTGTTCAGCTTCCTTAAGGAGAGGTGAAGAAGTCATTGATTTCTAGGTGTCAATGTCCTGGCAACTGTATTTGCCATTGTCTTCTCAGACACTCCACTGATGTGGGGATTGAAGCCCACTTGACTCAGACAGCTAGGTGCTATTCACAACTGTGTCTTAGTCTGCCCCAAGAGCAAACAGACCTTTTCCACCCACTAGGTAACAATGCAGCATATAGGGTAAACTGAGGCACATATACACTTCATATAAATATTACAGAAAATTCCCACTTTGTCACAAAAATATTAACAGTGACATCAGTGGTGTTGAGGCAGAATAACTTCCAAAATGCTTTCACTGTGTGGCAATCAGATGTGTTAATATAATTGATACAATAGCATATTAGGTCACTGTCAAAGTTTTGCATTACAGTGAAAGTTGGATGAGTGAACAGTGCCCTCATCAATATAAGCTGTAAAATATGAGGGTAACTCAGCACAGAGATATAAAAATGTTTAATGTGTCATTCTGACTTTATTCATTCACAGCTACTCATCCCCGGTTTTGAGAAAAACTCAGTGGCACCAGCCTAGAGCAGTGTTCAGAACACAAGACAGGTGTCCCATCTAGAGAACATACTGGTCAAGTACTGCCCAGAGCCAGTTGCTCCAGAAGTAGGCGTAAGGAGTTTGCAACAATAAATCAGTGAACTGCTAGTCTCAATCTCTAACTCATCACAAGTATCACTGGAATACCCTCCCTGAGGTCTGAAGATGCCTCACTATTGCTTTACAGGTTTCAGAGTAGCAGCCGTGTTAGTCTGTATTCGCAAAAAGAAAAGGAGTACTTGTGGCACCTTAGAGACTAACCAATTTATTTGAGCATAAGCTTTTGTGAGCTACAGCTCACTTCATCAGATGCATCCTGTAGCTCACGAAAGCTTATGCTCAAATAAATTGGTTAGTCTCTAAGGTGCCACTAGTACTCCTTTTCTTATTGCTTTACAAAATCTGCAGCAGAAATTTTGCTCACGAGAAAACTGCACAAATATTCACCCTGTCTTATCTTTAGGGAAAGTGATCTGGAAATAGCATTGGTTCCCAAGGACTTCAGGCATGTGACGTTATCTCCTCCAGGGAGGCCTCGGATTCCCAGAAGGCCTTTTGAAATCTCCTACAACCAACTTCTTTGGTAAACTATTCCAGGAACTGTGGGACAGAGAGGAACCAAGAGTACAGGGCAGCTATTACATTATAGTAGTAGCATTAAAGGTGGCAAACTGCTCCCAAAAGAGCATGTCTATTGTGGACAAACTGCACTATTGGTACTTAAACTAATGTAGTCCAAGTTATCCAATTACCAACAGTTCAATTCTCTAATGAAGACACAGAGCATTTTGCAATGTCCAAGATTTATGCATTTGTAAATTGTCAGTGGCAATTACTTTTTGCTTCATTTTAATGTATTTGAATAACAATCTAGATTTAGAAAGAAAAAAGGGTGTAGACAGAACTATGAACCAGATGCAAAACACAGCACAAATTTAATTTATTTATTTGGGAAATCTGATGTATACAATATATTAATACAGGTATAAATACATTTTTCCTCAGATTTTATACATATAGAATATTAGTTGTGACAAGAAGTACTTTATTATTTTGCCAAAGCTACTTTGTAAATTAAGAACTGGTATTAAATATACATAGATACCAATATATAGAATCACAGAAACATAAGGCCGGAAGGGACTTTGAGAGGTCATCAAGTCCATCCCCCTTCCTTGAGGCAGGACCAGATAAACCTAAACTATCCCTGACAGGTTTTTGTCCAACCTGTTCTTTAAAAGTTCCAGTGACGGGGTTTCCTCAACATCCCTTGGAAGCCTGTTCCAGAGCTTAACTATCATTACAGTTAGAAATTTTTTTCTTAATATCTGACCTAAATCACCCTTGCTGCAGATTAAGCCCATTGCTTCCTGTCCACCTTCAGTGAACATGGAGAACAATTGATCACCATCCTCTTTCTAACAGCCTGTAACATGTTCGAACAGTCATCAGCTCCCCTCTCAGTCGTCTTTTCTCAAGGAAAAAAAAAAACATTCCCTGGGTTTTTTTAACCTTTAGTCATACATCAAG